CAACATTCCCACCCATTTGTAGACCTGAGTCCATGAGGCGGCTCTAGATGCACCCGGTGAGTCAATTACAAGTGGTCCTAGTAGTCATCTGCTTCCTCGCCACGCTGTGCTTCCCCCGTGCCATCCTGTCGCTGCACATCTGAATCCCACTGGTGATTCAACCAGACACTTGTGTCCGGCAGTCGCACCCAAACGCTGCCATGCCAGTCTGAGCTAGATTCTCCCCAGAAGCCTTGCCAAAGGGAAACTGGATCCCACCCACCACCCCCAGCCTCCTGGCCCGACAGAGCTGCCATAAGTAACTAATTGCCTCCTCTAGGTTGAGCGTTAATTAAACAATCTGTTGCTAGTCATCTCCTGAGGTGCAGGGCGCCCTCTCTTTAAGCCTGGAAATAGTTAAATCCTGGAAAAGAGAAGCACCCAGTGTGGGCCACCCCCATTCATGTGTGAACAGATAAGAAGTTGTGGATAGAACCTCTTATTTTGGCCCTGGCTGGGTCATCTAAAGTCAACTGTAATTCCATCTTTGGACTCTCCACTTTCAATTTACCTGTTTTGCTCTTACTGACCCCTTCTTTCCACCTGCTCACCACACCACACCCACACCCACACCCGGCCAGGTTGGGAGCCCTGTGATGGTCGGTCGGGTCCCCAGTAGCTGTTCTCACTGGCCGTCCAATCAAACCCCTTGGGCACTAGTCTGTGCTCAGCTATAGACTGAGCCAATCTGGGTGGTCTGTCTAGCCAAAGCTATGGTTTTTCTAGTAGTCATGCATGGATGTGAGAGTTGGACTATAAAGAAAGCTGAGCGCTGAAGAATTGATGCTTTTGAACTGTGGTGTTGGAGAAGACTCTTGAGAGTTCCTTGGACTGCAAAGAGATCCAACCAGTCCATCCTAAAACAGATCAGTCCTGGGTGTTCATTGGAAGGACTGATGTTGAAGCTGAAACTCCAATCCTTTGGCCACTTGATGTGAAGAGCTGACTCATTTGAAGAGACCCTGATGCTGGGTAAGATTGAAGGCAGGAGGAGAAGGGGACGACAGAGGATGAGATGGTTGGATGGCATCACTGACTCAATAGACATGAGTTTGAGTAAACTCTGGGAGTTGGTGATGGACAGGGAGGCCTGGCATGCTGTGGTCCATGGGGTCGCAAAGAGTTGGACATGACTGAGTGACTGAACTGAACTGAATCTGGGTGAGAGCTAAAGCCATGGGACATTTTGGTCACAAATATCTACAGTCTGAGGGACAGCTTTGCCATGTTCGTAAGGTAGCTGTCAGAGGGAGCTGACTCTCCAAGCCTTTCCATGGGTCACCCCTAGAAGAGGAACTCTGGAGGACAGGCACCAGTCCAGTTCTGGTTCCAGGAGTAGTTGGTGCTGAGATGTCTCTTCATGACACAGAGTCTTCATGACAAGGCTTTGTCTCTGGGTGGAACCTCACCCCTCAGCAACTGTGTGCTGAGGAGGGACAGGGAAGCAGAGCTTCTACTCTGAGTCTGCTCCCTGCCAGGCTCTGAACTAAACCAGACTCCTGGGGTCAGCAGGCAGCAGCTGCTCTGGGCATCAGGACCACCACCCCCCTCTCCCTCCTCTCATCATGACTGTGTCTGGCTTCCTTGGCATGCATGCCTACTAAGTCTCTCAGTCGTGTCCGACTCTTTTCGACCCTATGGACTGTAGCCCGCCAGGCTCCTCTGTCCATGAGGATTCTCCAGACAAGAATACTGGATGGGGTTGCCGTGCCCTCCTCCAGGGTATCATTCCAACCAGGGGATCGAACTCATGTCTTTTTCATCTCCTGTGTTGGCAGGCATGTTCTTTACCACCAGCGCCACCTGGGAAGGCCTCCTTGGACAGGGCACTCATTTGGAAAGGGAGAGGGTACCCTCCCCCAGCTAGAGCTTCAATTTCCCCCAAAGACCAGGGATCAAGGGACCAGCTGTTAGTGGCTTTGTCCTTCTTTCTCACCTCTTGGGGCCCGTCTGCTGGTCACCATGAGATGTGTGGACACCCCTCCCCTCCCCAGAGTCTTGTTACCTGTGGACACAGGTAACAAAGCTCCAGGGTGGACAAGATGGCTCCGCTCCAACAGGACAACCCTCCCGTCAGTGCTAAGCAGCTCTCGGGACAGCAGCTTCCAGATGTCGCCATTTTATCATAAGCTATGGTTTTTTCCATTGAAAAGGCCAGCGGGGAATCCATGTGTGGGGAAAGCTGGTTTAGCTGGGACCCTTGGTGACCAGGGCTCGGACGGGCCTCCAGGATAATAACCCATGCCCTGTGACAGCACTATCCTGTCTGATGCAGCCTAAGAACTGGAGAAGCAGTCATAAAATGGGGCAGGGGAGCTGGGTAGGAAGACAAGTTCTGAGAGGCCTTCCTGACTGGTTCATCCCCAGAACCGTGACAGTTCAGAGCTGGAGGACTCTTAAAGGTCACTGGTTCCCCCAGCTCTCCCCCCAACCCCCCCCCCCCCCCAGTTACCGCACATTAGGGTCACCTCAAGTGTTCAGCTTGGATGAGTCTGGACAAGGCCCCAGCATCAGTACTTTAAAAAGCCCTGCAGGCGATTTGACTGTGCAGTGATTACAAACCACTAACCAGGGCTTCCCTGGTGGCACGGTGGTAAAGAATCTGCCTGCCAATGCAGGGGACACAAGTTGGATCCCTGAGCCAGGAAGATACCACATGTCTCGGAGCAACGGAGCCCCCGCACCACAGAGCTACTGCGCTCAGTAGCTGTGGCTCTCGGGCCCGGGGGCCCTAGAGCCCGAGCTCCACCACAAGAGAAACCACCGCAATGAGAAGCCTGAGAACTGCAACTAGAGAGTAGCCCATGCTCTCTGCAACTAGAGAAAAGCCCAAGCAGGGATGAAGACCCAGCAGAGCCGAAAGCAGGAGGAAGGGGATCAACACCGTCACTTACTCTCCTGTGGGGAGGGGTCTCGGGTCCCTGGTCCAGCCTGAGGGCTTTCACCTGGCATCCCAGAGCCCCAGGCTTCTGGTGGTGCCCCAGCAAATGGGGGGTGGGAGGGGCAGGGCCCCAGGCACCCTCCTGTCCCCCACCCTCTTCTGGGAGAGAGTTCCCACCCAGGTCTCAGGTGAGTGGGGAGTGTCCCGGGGTGTGGTGTGTGGCCGGCCTGGAAAGATCAGCAGGGCCCTCTGTCTGGAAGCTGTCAGAGCTGGAAGGCTCAGCACCTGGTGGGAGGTGAGGAGGGCTGGCCTGGAGGGATGGAGGAGGAGGCAGTGTGTGGGGAGGTGGGAGCACCTCGGAAGAGCGGAGATGAAAGAGCATCAGCTCCCAGGGCTCATGGATTCCTGCTATGCCCGAGGCCTGTTTGCTCAGCTTTTCTCAGATTCCCGGGACGCCTCTCTAGAGCCTTAGAAAAGCCCCGTTTTACTGGAGCCCGTCTTTGTACAACCACAAGAGCTTTAAGAGAGAACATGCGCTACAAACAGAGCCACTCCGCTTTGATCTTTTCACGTTTCGGGGTCCACGGAAGATTTTTGACTGGAAGGTGGAAATGAAAAAGATTCCATGCTGCTAAAAGCAAGCACGGCCATCCTGAGTGTGACCCTTGCTTCAGTGAGGAGGACACCGGGGGCACAGAGAAGGTGGTGGGGCCGGTTTTGTGGGGGCAGGGGGGTCCTGTCTCAGCAGGGGAGGGAAGGAAGGAGCAGGGTGCCGCTCATGCCTCTCTCTCCCCTGGCTTCTGCCTCACTCCGGTTGGGACCCACAGGGGAGGTGGTGCTGGGCAGGGATGGCTGACTCTGGTGACAGAGAATTTGAGATTTGAGACATCTGCCCTTCAGGGGGATAAGGATAAAGAGTCCAGCACCAAGTTGAACCCAACAGTTCTCCTCCTCTCCCAACCCACAGTTCACTAGCCCCCAGATCTCTCTGTCTGTCCAGGATAGCCACCTCCAATCTCCAGCAGGACACCACGCCCCTCCCCACCTCCAGGACCTGATCAGAGATCCCAAGTCAGACGGTTCATGTGGTGTCTGCCATCTAACTAACGCTGGCTTCCATGGATGGAACTCATTATTGCTGCTGTTCTGTTCTTCAGTCGTGTCCGACTCTCTGAGACCCCAAGGACGGCAGCACACCAGGTTTCCCTGTCCTTCGCCAACTCTTGGAGCTTGCTCAAACTCACGTCCATTGAGTTGGCGATGCCATCCAACCATCTCATCCTCTGTCGTCCCCTTCTCCTCCTGCCCTTACACATTTCCCTGTATACATTTTCAATTGCTTCTGCACAAGCCCAATTCCCCTTCTTCCTAACTCCATGCAATTTGTCCATCCACCTCTCTCCAAGGAATGCCCTGTGAAGGGCACACTCACGGTTAGCTTTCACTTTGGATTGAGGCTCAAACTAGGAGACCAAAAAGCACACTTGAACTCTTCAGGGAGAAAAGAGGCCATACAGACTGTGAATGCACTTTTACTTCCCATGGACAAGAACCTGTTCCCTCACAGCTACACAGCTCTGCTCATGGACCACCTGTCAAAGGGCTGGACTGGTCCTGTGGCCATGGCAGTGACAGAGGGTGAGAGAGACACATGACAGAAGGTTTAGCCTTGTCCCACCAGCTTAGAGCCTCATTGGAAATGGGAGCAACAGCCGTAGGACCCAGGAATCAGGATGGAGGTAGGCTTTTGAACACGAAACTGTCCAGACAGCAGTTGCCCCCCGCCCCACAGTATATGCCAGGTACACGCTACGTGCTCAAAATACCCAAGTACCCCCTGGGTTCACACTTGCTCCACATCTGACACCTGTTTCAAGGCCATCACCACCGTCTCTCACACACCAGGTGGGAGACCCCAGAGGGCAATGACCAGCAGTCACCAGGAACTCAAAACACAGTCGGAATGAGTGGAGGAAAGGGGCCCCCCAACGGAGTCTGGGCCTCCATCCTCAAGTCCACCAGCTGTTCTCTCAGAATGCCAGTAACCAGGACCTCCCGGCCTGCTGTCCCTGAGCCTTACCTCCCATGAGGAAGAGCAGCCCGGCCACATACTGCATAAGGCCTCGGTCCCAGCAGCAGCCCAGCACGCCGATGATCCAGCCGAAGAGGATGATGGCCACCGCCATGCCCATGAAGCCGGCCGTCATCCTGCGCAGGTCTGCAGGGAAGCAGGTGGGTACCAGTTAGCATCAGAGCCTGGAACGCAGGGTCCGGTGCACCCCAACCCTGGGCCGGGGGGAGGGGGCAGGACACCACAGGGGCCCTTTGCAGACAGGTTGGTGCAACTGAGCTTCCTTTGCAGAGGACAGAACCCCCCATGGCAACCACATTTGTTGTTTAGTTGCTCAGTCATGTCCGACTCTGTGCGACCCCATGGACTGTATAGCCCACCAGGCTCCTCTGTCCAGGGATTCTCCAGGCAAGAATACTGGAGTGGGTAGCCATTCCCTTCTCCAGGGGATCTTCTGGACTCAGGGACTGAACCTCAGTCTCCTGCATTGCAGGAAGATTCTTTACCCCTGAGCCAGCTGGGAAACACCGGTGACCATGTCCTCAAGTGCAAACACACCTAGGACAGCCTGGTCCATACGCGGAGGAGAGACCACCAGCATAATAGCTGCCATTTCCTCTGCATTCCCTTCTTTGTGCTGGGTGCAGCACTGCTCTTCGCAAGCATCTCTCCCAACCTCCTAGGACAGCTACTGTCCTTATCCCTATCTGGAGAATGGAGCAACCCAGAGAAAGCCTAGAGAGGGTGGAGAACACAGCATCAAACCCAGACCTGTGCGGCTCCCAGGCCCTAACACAGGATCACTCACCCTTCAGGGAGGTGAGACCCAAACAAATGGGCCCTTAGAGCTAGGCTGAGTCTTGGCACTTGCCAGGGACTCTATCCCTCGCATGCAGGGTTCGCTGGTCTCTCAGGAGGTCAGGGGTGAAGAGGAAGCTATATGATGTTCCTCATCCTCCAGCCTGACTCCGGGGGGCTCAGCTTCCCCCACACGTGTGATTGCAGGGTGGGAGCTGTGCTTCCTGCTCTCAGGTTGAACCCTGAGGAGGCCCCCTCAGCTTTCCTGATCAGGTCCTTCTCTGTACATGCTCTGCCAACCCTCCAGACAAAACCTGGCATGCAAGGGGATGAGGGCTGTCTGGAAAAGTGATTTTTTTTATTAGTTTTTATTGGAGTATCGCTGCTTTACAGGGCTTCCCTGATGGCTCAGTGGTAAAGAAGCATCTGCCAAGGTAAGAGACATGAGCAGTGGGTTTGATCCCTGGATCGGGAAGATCCCCTGGAGGAGGGCATGGCAACCCACTCCAATATTCTTGCCTGGAGAATCCTATGGATGGAGGAGCCTGGAAGGCTCTAGTCCACAGGGTCGAAAAGAGCTGGACCTGAGTGGAGTGTGACTTAGCACATGAATGCTGTGTTAGCTTCTGCTGTAGGCGAAGTGAATCAACTATATGTTTACATGTATCCACTCTTTTTTTTTTTTTGTATTTCCTTCCCATTTAGGTCTAGGAAGGTGGAATTTTTAGCGGAAGGGAGACGGCAGAGCTGCTGATATATCTCTGTCAGCCTCACTCAGCATCTTGCTAAGCTTCCTCCCAGCTCTAGCCCTACACTCCGGTGTATCCCCCGACCCCACCGTACCCGCTGCACACTCCTTCCCTGGAATCTGGCTTTCTTCCTTCTGGGTAACACCCCCAATCAGGCTCCACACAGGAGCCGTTTGTCCGGCCTCTGCCCTGGGCGATGGGGACTGCAGAGTAGCCTGGAGACCCCGTGAGCATCCCCTTCTCTTGAAGGAAGGGAAGGAACATGAGGAGGTGGGGAGGGGGGGCTCCGGACAGCAAACTACCTGAGTCTCCCATCCAAGCAAGCACGGATGGTCTCATCCCCGGGAAAACAAACACCCAGGTTTCTGTGGGGAGCACCTCTGTGCCTCTCTCGCACTCCAGGCCCCTGGTCGGCAGAGTAAACACAGGACCCCAGGCACAGTCTGGCTTGAGACCTCCCGCCCCTCCCCCACCTCCAGAGCTGGCTGTGGTCCACGCCCCTTGGCCTGGCACTGAAGATCAGACCCTGGCAGCCCCCTCCTCATCCCCCGGGGAGGAAGTTGCCTTGGGGGTGGGGAGGAGAACAGCAGGTGAGCCTCCCCATGATGAAGGGGGCCTAACAGGGCCCTGCCACAGAGGCGGACATTCCCAGAGAGCCACGAGCAGGTTCCTGCTCTACTGAGTTCTCCTGGGTCCTTCCCACCCGTGCTGACCCCAGAGTGCCAGCCCAGCCAGAGAGCAGTCACACCTGTTACAGTCACTCCCGTGCACGCCAAGGAGGCCTAATTATCAGGCTGCACTGATCGCTCAGATCGCTAAACACGCCAGAGGGAACTTTGTTGAGGACGCATTAGATCCCAGCACGCAGACGTGTGCCAGGCTTCCTGAGCGGGCTCCATGCTCAGGCATTCACGGCTGGCTGGAAAGAAGGCAGGACCTCCCTGCCAGCTGGGCCGCACCCCTTTCTCTCTCACCTGCCTGTGGTCACCCCGGCCCCTCCATCTCCCCACGGCCACGAGCCTTAGTCCCGTGGCCCCTTCTTCCTTTGTCACCGCAAAAGACTCTAGGCAGCCAGCTCTGGGCTGCCTCCTTGGTGGAGAAAGGTCCCCTCTCGACTCCACTGGGACTGATTCCCGGCCATGGGATACTCTGCCACAGGGGGCTTATCCACTCTCCACTGCAGTCAAGGGCAAGGAGGTGATGGGAATGGGAGACCAGAGACCAGGGTATTTTTAGTCTAAAGGAGATTTACTTATAGCCCCTTAAACAGCTCAGGAAATTTCTCTTCTATGCCCCTATGAAACTACTGGCTTCCTTTTCAGTAACAGGGGGGTTTCTAGGAAGACTCCCCTAGAATTTCTAGGAAGAATCCCTAGTGGCACTAGAGAGGACAACCCTGCAGAAGCCTCAGAGCCCCTTCCTGCCACACCTGGTGGGTACTGGCCCCTGGGCTATGCAGACCCCAGGGAGCAAAGGTGCTGCCTGGGGGACTGAATGGATAATGGGTCCCTGTGAGCCATGTGTACTGGGTCTGGGGATGGAGAAGAGGGCTGGACAGGAAAACAAATAATGCAAATCATTACAAGACAGAAAGGTATTGCTGTTGGAGGAGGAAAGCCAAGTGCTTCACTTAGGAGAAAACAGAGCAAAAGGCAGAAACAGAAGTGGAGAGAGTAATTCCTCTTCCAAAAGCCCTGAGACAGACAACCTGTGTTCCCAGGTCAGGGAAGGCTGTGCCTCCAACACAGACTCTGTGCACTCAGCTGTCTCCCAAAGGCTTTGTCAACAAAAACTGAGGGTCAGGCTAAGTTGTTGTTCTAGAAAGAGGATGAAAACCAGAGGTCAGGCCTGAGCATTTTCACTGACCAGAGAGGATATTCACCATCACCCGGTGAGCCATGTATGTACAGCTGTTTATTCTGCCCTCAGACCTACATGGTAACTCAGGGCAGCTGCAGCAACAACTTAAAGGTAGGCAGGACAAGTAATATTCCTATTTTACAGGGTTTAGAGAAGTTAAATAATTTATTGATCAACAGTCTCAAACCAGTGAACTAAAAAGGAATGAGCTGGGTTACTGAGTTGTGTAGGAAAATAAAATTAATAATCTAATTAAAGACCTACAGGATCATCATCACAGATGGAAGAAATATAACTAGCATTTTTCCTCCCAAATAAAGCCAGGATTAGAGTTCCAAGATTTTTTTAAAAGACAGAAATTCACATGGAAGGGGAAACCAGAAAAGAAGATGGCGATAACAGAAGACTGGAAGCTGCAAAACTGAGGGCAGTATAGTTTCTCAACAGACCTAACAAGCCAAGACCAGAGCCAGCGGAGGGGTGGGGGGAAGCTGAAAACCATCCTGCCAAACCCCCCAAAGGCTCAGAAGTTGGCATTAATCACTATGCATCAGGAAGTCAAGCAGAGGGGAGGGAGATAAAACAAGGATTTCGAACAAGTTGTTTAGGATGGAATGAGAACCTTAGCTCCCCTCAGCCACTCCACACCTCTGAGGAATAACCCCTTTCCTCCACCCCCAGGGTGGAGAGGGAGTACTTAGGACTGGAAGTCAACAAGCTCAGGTGATGGCTGGTCAGCACAACTGAGGGTCATTGCATACAGGGCAAGTAAGTGTCTGTGCACTTACAGAATGCTGAATGCTTACCCTTGAGACCCCAGACCTCTTCTGCCTGGTTCCCAGAAGCAGACTGCCGTGCCTTTGCCCTATAGCCTGGAAGCTGGGAGAGACCTTTCTGGTGATGACCAGCACACGAGAAAATATCTAGACACATTACTATTTGTGTGTGTGGCAGGAGGCAGGGAGGCATAAGCAGTCCCTCCAACTATCTACAGCAAAGCTTCCCATTGACAAGCCCACTGCCTACTCAGGGCTTTCAGGCAGCCCCAAATATTAAGAAAATCTATAAGCTGGAAGAAAAAGAACTTGAAGAAACAAACTGCAGGGAGGAGAAATTAAAGATTATTATTGGAAATATAAATCAAAATCACAATGAGATATCACATCACATCTGTCAGAACGGCCATCATCAAAAGACAACAAATAACAAATGTTGGTGAGGATGAACAGAAAAGGGAATCCTTGTACACTGTTGGTGGGAATGTAAATTGGTGCAGCCACTGTAGAAGACAGCATGGAGGGAATACATGTGAAAAAAAAAAAAAAGATACACTATGGTTGTGATAAAAAAAAAAAAAAAAAAAAACCAAAAACAGAATTACCCTATGACCTAGCAATTCCACTCCTGGCTATATAGCTGAAAAAACCAAAACACTAAATTTGAAAAGATAAATGCACAAGGCTCATAGCAGCATCATTTACAATTGCCAAGATATGGAAGCAACCTAAGTGTCCATCAACAGATGAATGGATAAAGAAAATGTGATATGTGTGTGTGTGTGTGTGTGTGTATACATACACACATATATATATATATATATACACACACACAATGAAATACTATTCAGTATTCCATAAAAAATAACAGAAGTTTGCCATTTGCAGCAACATGGATGGACTTGGAAGGCATTATGCTTCAAGTGAAACAAGCCAGAAAGAGAACAACAAACACTGTATATCA